GCAGGGTGGCCCCAGGATTTCCTGCTTAGCGTGGAGACCAGCAGCGGCACTGGAGGTGGGGCTTCCGGACCCACCACAGCCACACCTCCACCAAGGGCCTGGTACTGCCCACTCTCGGGAGTCCCTGCCTCTCCCCCATGAGGACAAGCCACCGGAGAGCCTGGTCTGGGACTTAACCGCCAAGTCTCTTGAGTCACAGCAGGGGGAGTGATGGGCAGGAGGGGGAGGCTTTGGCCAACATCTTGGGATCCCCCCATCCCCTGGTCTACCCGGACCCCCAGGGCGCTGAGAGCATCGGTGGCGGTGCCTTGTGGCAGGGCCAAGTGTGGGGACTGACAGCCACCGCACCGAGGCCCGAGTCTAGAAGACTGGGGGCGGGGGGGCGGTGGCACTGCAGGCGGTATTCAAAGGGGCAGGTGGGAGAGAAGATGGGGGAGCTGTGACAGCTCAGCAGCGCAGCATGGGAACACACGGCTCGGGAGCCAGCCCCTCCCCGTAGACCCCTAGGTTGGGTTGCAGGACCACCGAGTGGCTGTGGCGTGTGTGAGGCAGACACGGCCAGATGGCTCAGCAGCCCCTCCACCCGGAGCCTCCTCCTCAGTCATGGGGGGCCTTCACAGCACAGGGTGGGCCCCAGCCTGCATGTGCCCTTGTGCCCCACGAGAGCGGGACGTGCCGGCCTCCCCGGGAGTTCCCGACACTCGTTCTGCTGGCCCGGCCTAGCAGCAGGTGATGAGCCCGCGCCGTGGCCTCCCAGGGGTCTCCTGGGGAGAGAGCTCACGTGTGCTCCTCCTCGCGGGGAGCCTGGCTTAAAGCTGGGGCCTCGAGGCTACAGCTGACTCCAGAGGGGAGATAGACGCTGCCGTGGACGCTGACCCCAGGAGGGCCCCTGGGAAGGTGGGCGTCGCCCTGGCAGTGGGGTGGCTTCCCCAGGCTATCCACGATCGTGGCTGCAGGCTGGTCCCCTTTCCTCTCTAATGGCCAGACCCCTTGTCTTGGGTGGAGTAATTCTTGCAGGCCCAGGATGATACCCACTGTGCCTTCTCCCCACCACCTCAGCCTGTGAGTCCTGAGTCGACAGTTGGACCTGCACAAGGTCTGGGATCAGGACTCTCATCTCCTCCCCCTGTCCCAAAGGGGCTTTATCTGCGTGATGAGCCTCTGAGAGGCTGGGCCCCAGGTACATCACCGACAGGTCGTCTGGGGTGTGGCCAGCGTCCTTCCATCCTGCAGACCGGGACTGTCCTACCTGGTAGGAAGCAGGCACACGGCTTGATCCCGCCCCGGATGCCACACCACGGCCCAGTCTTGGCTCCAGGGACACTTGCCCTCAGACCCAGAGGTTCGGGCAGAGCACAGTGGGGGCTTCCGCCTCTGGGGCGGAGCTGGTGACGTTTCCAAAAGCCTGAGCCTTGAAGGAAGGTAAAGCTGAGTGCCAGCTGCCTGCCTGCCCCCAGGGCCTCCTCCCTTCCTTGGGCCTGTGCACACCTGGGATGGGAGGAGGGAAAGAGACTTTGCCCGCATGGACCCGCCCTTGTTGGCACTGGTGGTGGAGAGGCCAAAGTGTGCCTGGAGTGGACCAGCCAGAGCAGGCCTGGCCGCATGGGTCAGCGCCGGCCAATCTGACGCGTCCGGGCCACCGTCCCCACCACTGTTGTGCTCCCCCCTCAGGAGACGCTGCCCGCGGACCCTAGATGCCTCTCTAGAGCATGAGCTCGGGCAAGAGCGCCCGCTACAACCGCTTCTCCGGGGGGCCCGCCAACCTTCCCACTGCCGACGTCACCGCCGGGGTAAGCGGGAACCTCACAGGGAAGGGCCTCCCCCTCGTGCCCACCTTGTGTGCCGGGGTCCCCGCAGAGCCTCCAGAGCAGTCCCCTCCCTACGTGGAGGGCCTGTGCCGCGCGTGTCCGCATGAGCTCACGCGCGCACGTGACCATGGTGCTACGAAAGCGCGTCGGTGCCCGTCCACGTGTGTGTACACGTCCTCGCTGGGGGTCGATGCCAAGTCTCATCTGTTCTCTGTCCAGACCAGAATGGAAACGACCTTCGGGCCTGCCTTTTCGGCCGTCACCACCATCACAAAAGGTGAGCCAGCCTGTGAGCCCAGGCCAGGGTGGGTTGGGCAGAATCTGGGCGTCCCTTACTCCCACTGGGGTCTGCGGGCACGTCCTGGTGGGGCAGGAGGGGGCATCGGTGTCGGCCCTAGGCTGCCTGCCGCCCCCCCCCCCCCCCCCCCCCCGCCTCTGCTGCCGCATCCTTCTCCTCCCCCCGCAACCCCGGGCATCCCAGCACCTCCGTCCTGGGGCCTCACCCGTTACCTCTGGGGAGGGCTGCCCCACCTTCTCTGTCCCTCGTCCTAGCGTCCTCTGGTTCACCCCCGCCCTGGGCTCCTAGCAGCCTCCGGGAGGTCGGGACCGGGGGCCACGCTGGACACGTGTGGGTGGTCAGAAGTACTCGCGGTGTCCTTTCTCCAGACCGGTTCCAGCCCGGGGCCGTGTGTTCGAGGAGGTTGTGAGGGGCTAACAGCCCGGGGCACTACCTCCTTCCCTGAGTCATGAGGGTGTGTTGCCTCTCTTGTCAGGGCTGGGGGTTCAGGGATGGACTTTGTTCCTTTGCCTTTTTGGTACTCTGCTCCTCGTAGGTGAAGCCGATTTTTAATTGCTTTTCCGGGGCTCCCTCTCGATGCACTCAGCAGTGAGGCCACAGGACCACTGTGCGCACGTGCTCACACTGGCCCCTCTGCCCCAGGGTGGCTCAATCAGATGCTCCAAAAGTGCCCCTTTTCCTTCTTAGATGTTCTGTCCTGAGAATAAATAAACGTCTCCCCTAATACAAGCACCCAGGTCACTGTTCCTCAACACCTCACTTACTCTTAGAAGTTGCAGGGGCCCCCGTCACGGCAGTCCCGCGCTCCTGGAGCAGACAGTGATGGGAGTCTGTCTCCCTCTCGCCCTACCCAGCAACCCCATCGGTGGCAGGGATGGGTCAGGACTGGGTATGAACAGTCACCTCCCCTGACCCCTCTCACACATAGGGAAACTGAGGCCCAGTGACAGGGGAGCTGCTTAAAGCCCGACTCATGAAACCATGCCTTTGGGGCTGGTTGTGATGTCTGGGTTTGGGTGGGCCTGAGGCCGGTGGTGGCCACTCCAGGGCTTCTGGCTTCCCCATGGACTCCTGACCAACGCCTTCCCTGGAGTGGGCTGAGAAGGCCCGAGGGTGGTTCCAGGTTCTGGCCAGGGGAACAGCTGGGAGACAAGCAGACCCAAACAGCGGGCTGCCTGTCAGTCCTCACCACACACCGGCCCGGGGGCCTCAGGCCTCTGTCCCTGTCTCCTCCTCTGGGCACTGAGGACATCAGAGGACCCGCCCACTGGTAGGGTTACCTTGAGAGCCAAGCAAGATGACATCCCACTCGTGCCAGGCAACCTCCAGATTAATCACTCAGATGTTGGGCTCTTGCCTCAGCTGGGCACAGGGCAGCCCCAGGGTCAGACCGCTGGCACCTTGTAGAGTCAGAGAGATGATCCCTCCACCCCACCTTCAGCCTGCCTTGGGAGTGTGACTGTCGGGGGCTCCGGAGCTCCAGGCACAGAGGATAGGCCCTGGAGACCACCTGAGCCGGGCTGGCCCCAGGCTGTGCCCTCCCTCCCCACCTGCCTGGCCCTGGAGGGGGCTGAGGATGCAGGGCCAGTGCGGGGCTTGCTGGGGGCTCAGGCCAGCTTGCGTTCTGGCCCTTGTCCTGCTCAGGCCCCTGACAGGGGCAGGGTGGCTCCCAGCTGCCCCCGAGCCCAGCCCCAGCCAAGTGGCCCTCAGATCAAGAACGAGGACACGGGAGAGGGTGGGGGGCAAGGAGACTTCCCAGAGGGGATCAGCCCCCTGTCTGGCCCAGCCCCTGCCCCCACCGGGCCCGTCCGTCCAGGGAGCCCGCTTCCCGCCACGGGGGGCCAGCCATGCCCCCTCCGGATCACACTCGTGGCAACCCCACCCTCTCTTCTTGGCAGCCGATGGGACCAGCACGTACAAACAGCACCGCAGGACACCGTCTTCTTCTAGCACCCTCGCCTACTCACCGCGGGACGAGGAGGATAGCATGGTAGGTCTGTGCCATGGTCACTTCTCTCCCCACGGCCTCCGGTCATGCCGTCCTTCCCCAGGGCCGGGTCCCAGGCGTAGCTGAAGGGGAGGCTCCACCTCGAGGCACGCCCTGAGCTACGGTCTGCAGGCTACGCTGGGCTGGTGAGACAGGGCTGGTATGTGTGGACGTCGTGAGGCCTGAGCGCCCGTGGCAGGACTTTGTGGAGGAGGAAGGAGCAGTGGGGCCGGAGGGCGCAGAGCCTGCGAGCTGGGGCGAAGCGCATTCAGCTCCGGCTTGAAGGCCATGGGAGCCACAGAAGGTTCAGGCGTGTGGCTCACAGATCACGTTTCCGTTTTGAAAGTTGTCTGCTATCGACTAGAGGGTTGGAGGGTGGGCTGGTGGGTGGAGGCGGGACCCCTGAGCAGGTGGCTGGAAGGAGGACGGCCGGAGCTGGGGGATAATAACGGGCCTGCCAGGGCTGTGCTGACAGGGAGAGCCAGAGAACCCCCTGCCGCTGGCTCTGCGGAGTGAGGAAGGGGCTGGGGTGGAGTCGAGGCTGGCTGTCAGCGCCCAGGCTGTGTGGCCAGGGTCACAGCGGCTGTCCCCTGCCTGCCCGGCCACTGGACCGTGTCGCTGGGCTCTGGGCCTGTCGGAAGCGAGGAGCTGCCCTGGCCGAGGGGGGTGGCTCGGGCCCTCCTGCCGCTCACCTCTGCAGAGCCTCGCTTTCTGCTTCCCCTTGTGGATTGTCGGGATTCTCGCCAGTGTGGTGGCCCCACGGACTCCAGCTGGTTCTCCTGTCCTCCCAGCCTCCAGGACCCAAGTCTTCTCATGCTGGGCTGCTAGGCCTTCGTTTCCTATTTAATACTAAGGGAAACAGTGTTTTTTTTAATTACTTGAATGCGCTGTGTGCCAGGCGCTACACCAGGCCTTCTCTAAGCACAAAGCAGGCACCTTGCACCCCACTCCCTGGCTCCGCCTGCCTCGGCCTCCATGACCTCTGACTCACCCATGGCTGCCCGGGAGGGGATTTTCCCCAGAGTGGCCGGGACCAGGAGGAAGCCCGTGGGCTGGGTGGGGAGCAGTGGCTCTTACAGGATCTTTACTGGGGGGTTCTAGGCCAAGGCGGGGGGG